TGTTGAATTTTTTTAAACTCTTATCAATATCATAAATGTGAAAGTGAGTTTGTTGGTGTGATCAACCACTGTGAAATTTGGTATATACTCGTATGTACGTACTAAATGGGATGGAGAAACGCATAGGTTACTATTTATCCCGATCAGTAAATATAGGGTATATTTACTGGCTAGTTACGCGAAGTCGCGGGCAAAATCTAGTTAACAGATAATTTCGATCTTAGCACACTTAGGTATGAATGCTTTTAATTGAATACTACTGACTATCGAGAGTAACAGTATTTTTATTAGGGTCCCAAGGTCAACTATGAATTTTTATAGTTACGTTCATCCAATTATTTTTATCATGTGGTTATTGCCCTGACCTTTTATTGTTTCTCTTTATATGTTTGCCAGAAGCCAGACAGTTAATAGTGGAGGAACGGTCTTTAAAAATATTCCAATGTAAACCGGTATTAAAAATAAAACAGAAAAATTATTAAATTATTCCCTTAAATTCGAAGTCATGATTCGATATTTTTTTTTGTCTTGTTTTAGGATATATGATTGTATTTTATTGAAAACTTGTTTACACGTAAGATGAATAGATATTCATAAATAATAGTCGAATCGCCAAATAGTCTTTACGTGATAAAACGTTTTTTTGATAGATTCGTTATTTCTTTTGGTCATAATCGAAATTGTTCACAATTCGTGAGCATATGAATACGGTTTATAGTTTTACGTGCCACTGCAAAAATAAAATAGATTTGATATAATTTACAACTCGTCATAGGTAAACTAATTTGAAGAAAACCTCATGCATATGGAAATATTTTTTTTTCTCATAGCATCTGTTTTTTGCAATGCCTACTGTTTTAATAAATTAGCTTGTATTTGTTAGATTTCAAAATTGTCTTAAATATTTAGCAGAGTTTTATACAGCTGGCTCATTAGTAAATTTCAAACAGTATAGCTATTAATTCAGTATGAGAATACCCCGTTGCGAGGCCGTATTTTCGACCGCAATGTAAATATTTTAACATTCGGCTAGTTCCAGCGGTCTACGCCTGCCGACAACTCTGGATGCTCTTCGGAAATACTCACATCTAACCGGACACGGCATTTTAGGATCTGCTCGTATATTTTCACACTTACTTATGTATTAACATAGTAGGGACCAAATAGGAATAGATATTATTACCATTCATTCCCACCACATATTCCGAAAATTAACAGAAATCGGAAAGCGCACGTTACAGCCCTGTTGTTGCAGGCATCCATAGGCTACGGTAACCGTTTACCATCAAATGGACCGTGTGTTAGTTTATTATCATTCTGATATATAAAAAATAACATTACTGATAAAGTATTTTTTTTATTACTGACAACGAAATGGCAATCCCACCTGCGCTATTGGAATACGCTAGCGGGGTACTAGTGGGAGATAATATATATGAAATCAAGTCAATTGGCTTATAATGAATTCACCAGGATGGTTTCCAGAAGGTACGGCACGAAGGTCGACTCGATAAAGTACATTGCTAATAACAAGTACAAGTACAGCTAATCCCCATTACTAACGATCCCTTTCCTGCGTAATAAATTAGTTAGATACATGTATTGCGTAACAATATGTTTGCCCAAATTTCACCAAGCGCCAAATAAGCATTATTCGAATTCAACATGCTGGAATACATACCTACCCCTCTCTTTAGTCTCGTGCTAAAAGGATTTATTAACGGTGTTTATCACAGCCGAAATTCTATAGTTGAAAATTTTAAATTGAAATATGAAGTTTTGATTGAAAATTACAGCAGAGGACTGAATTTTTTTAAAATGTACTCCTATGTTCGTAGCATAGAAGATTTTTTTTTTAATTTAAGATAATGTGTCATTAGGCTACGATGTTCTTTTTATATTCAATATTTATTCATATCTCTAACTCAAGAGGTTGTGTATTTGCATACAAACGGCTATTTCCTGTTTTTGGCCCTTCGGTTGGACCATCCAAAAATATTTCTTTTTGTTTGTTTGCGACAAAAACTCTCTGTATTTCTTATTGCTGGCACGCTAGTTGTTTTGGCTCTACGTTGATGGCTCTGTTGACCATCTTATTACCTTGCACTTGTCTCTTTCTTGTCATATAACTATTTATTAGTATGAGTACTCGAGTGATTAACGAGTGAATGAAATGTTAATAAGTTTCAAAAAACAAAAACTGTTGCAAAACATTAGGCTTTGTGTTTGTGCTAATATTAATATTCAAGGATATTGGCAATATCTAATTATTAAGTACAATGTATATTTATTAAATATACATAATCAAAGGGCCATTCTTAAATTGTGTTACACCAATTTCATAATTTTTGACGACACTCTCCCCCCGGTCTTTGTTACAGTTGATCACATTTGTGACACTTCCTTTTATCACATATTTTGTAATTTTATATTATTATATATTAGTTTTATCTACATTTATAGATAAAGTCGGTAATGTGTTTGAGATTTTGGTTAATAGTAAAAATTTCGTTTTTTATTGTATTATATTTAAACATAGATTTTAAAATGCCCACTGATAGAATTAAAAAATATTTTCTTACAACAAATAAGTTTTTCAGGCATGGCAGCATAACCATTCTACGTATCTTGCGAAAAGATTTTTTTATTAATGAAATCAAGTTTAGTCAACATTCAAATATGCATAAAAATTTTAACTTTATTGTATTGTACAAATCCAAAGTTGACATATCCAAAGAAAAGACGATCCATGTTTCTATGATACCTAAGTCCCAAGAAAAGGATAAATATATTCCGGTCGGAACCAACTAATTCTGTGTGTATTGCGTCTGTATTTTCTATTTAATTCATGACAGCTTTGTTTCTCTATAAAATAATGTGTTTATAACGTTAACTTTATTGACCCTAAACCAATAAAAAAGTATAAAAACAAATCGTAAATATAGAACGGAACGTAGATAGGATCTAGGTAAGTTTTTGTCCGCCATTTCTTACGCGTGGAATTCAGTACTAGAAAAACTTATGAAATAGACCAATTCTAGATGACGTATTAAGATTAAATATACACCAGATTTTAAGTTAGGCCTTCAGGAACACATTTGTTATATATATTCTTTATTGCACTTAAACAATGTATGCGACCATTAGTTTAACAACTTGTTAGCAAGGGAGGACTTATCTCTGAAAGAGATCTCTTCCAGCCAACCCAGTGTAGTTAGAGAGAAAATAATTTAATTTGGGTAATCCAGTGCAAGAAAGGTACCAATGAAAATAATGTAAATATAACAATAAATAAATAAATAAATATGTAAATAAGTAAATAGATAAATTATGTTAAAGTCACATATAATTTGGTGCATTATTTTTTATGATATTGATGATTATAAAATGCACAGGCAAACAGATTGTCATTTTGAAATATTTTTAAAGTTTATTATTTTGACATCTTTTGATCTTATTAAGACTTTTGAGATTATTATGTTTCATAAATATCTATGAAACATTAATATGACGGTCTACTAAGTACGAACATCCTCTTGTTAAATTGTAATAAAAATAAGATGAATTGTTCAACAGTTCATCTTATTTATTTTACAGTCTAAAAAAATTAATATCGTTATTTAATGTTAGAGCAAGAATAAATAAAAATCAGTAGTATATAATCGTTTATATACATATATAATGGGAAACTTTCGGACACAGTGAGTTCCTTATTTCTCCGTTATATATGTATATAGACATCGGATAAAAAATGAACATAACTTTTAAAAATAATATATTTGTTTTAAATTAAATTATTATGTATGAATATAACAATACTTGAAGTATGTTAAGATGATATTCTATTAAGTAGATTTAAGTAAGAGGACGTTCAATAATTACGTGAGAATTGTTTTCCCATACGTCATATTATATGGTGTGCTTAATAAAGCGAAGCAATACTTCACGCCGCTTCAATTATAAGGGCTCTGTAAATCGCAAATCCAGCCCCACATGGAGTATTGCTGTCCCTTATGGGCGGGAGCACTTAGACATTAGCTTGATCCTTTGTCTTAATGCAACGACGAGCTATGAGAATTGTCGATGATCCTAGACTTACAAGGAGTATCGAACCCTAAAGTCTTAAGAAAGATTTTGCCTCACTCAGCGTGTTCTATCACTTGTACAACGGACTGTGCTCAGAGGAATTGTTTAATATGATGCTCATGGCCACTTTTCGCTATCGTACAGCTCTCCATCGACAGGGAGTTGACCCCCATATTTTAAAACCTGGATGGCGCATACTGCCGATGAGACATTTCCTCCTACAAACGCTCAGGTTATGGAATGATCTTCCTGTTGGGGATTTTCCAAGAAACTACAGCATGGGATCTTCACAAAAGAGATAAAGAGGTTTACTCAGGGTCGGCAATACGCGCGTAAAACCCCTGTTATTACAGGCGTTCATTGGCTACGGTAACCGCTTATCATCAGGTATCACATATATACCTCAGCGGTATAAAAAATATAAATAAAATTTATTTGATAGGTAAATATCTGATTGTTGTCGAACAAGGTAGTGCGTAGAATAAATGTTTTTTTCTACGAAATAAAAAAAGAATAGAAAGTGAGATTTTCATTAGCGGATCCTTCCTATAAATGAAATTTTGACAGACCCCTTTCACCTTTTTATACTCTCATTATTTATGAATGGTCCCTTTGTACTTATAAGTAATAAAAATAATAATTTGTTATTATATGATATATTTTATATCTACTTGGTATATGATTACAAGATACAGATCCTCATTTTGGCCAATTGTCCGCAAACGGACATCCGCTCTCTGGGGAACGATACCGATTTCACTAGTAATTTCCGTGACCAGTCCCCCAAAATGGAATTTTCTGGCGTGAAATACGAATATTGCTTATAAAATTTGCTGTCTTTTATATTATATTTTGTTTACTTTTTTGTCGCCATAATTCGGATTTTAAACTGAACGTGGTGTTTTTCTTTACAGAGGCCGTGCAACTGTCAGCGGGCGCGAAAGCGTTGCCATTGTTTTCGGCCACATAGCAACGAAATATGGCTCTTTTCGAGATACTCCACCGGCTGGAAGTGAGTACCCTTTGTTCAAGTAAATAAATTAAAACCCCACACGGTCACAAAAAAATTCCTCAACGTCGGCCAGCGGTATATTTGGGTATTTCATTTATTCCCCATTCATAAGCGTGTTTTTGTGCGCACACAAATATTTGAATTTGGAATTTTTGTCGAGTAACGCAAGCTGTGTAAATGCACCACATGTCGTATTGTGGCAAACGATTTCAATTCTGAATATTTTTACACTACCGCATTGAAGAAAAAAATGAGAACGTTTTCTGCGTCTCATTATTAAAATCAGCAGGCTGATTTAATTTTTTTTATTTTAAAAATAGTTCTACTACAATACGGGCGAAATGTAAATGCTTTATTTGCCACTTGCAACAATGGTTGTGCGTTGAATTCGGCAGTTATCGTGACTACATCGCCGGCATGTAAATGCTACCAGCGGCGTGATAATTTACGTGTCAGTAAAACTAAAGAACAAATTTGAATATTAATATATTATTGTTCCCGAAATAGAGGAACATTCGATTACATCAGCGTATGGCGCCGTCTATGGCGGCCTTGGACCCGTCATCGTTCATTCGTTTTGGGCATGCAAATGTGCCGAGAGCTTTAAGTACATCACTTGATGTATTCAAAACATACAAAACCCCTCTTCTGGCTATTGTCTACCGCCCTTCGGGATAATATACGATCGCCGCGCCACAACACGTGACTGGTGTTTTAATTGGAAACGAATTTCAATTAAATCAGGCGCCTCTCATTGTTTCTCAATCATAAATCGTTGGTGTTAAATTTTATGATGCGGACAAACTTACATAGTATTAGGAGGTATTAAATAGTGTATTTTATTTATTTATTTATTTATAATTATGTGACAACAATAACTTAATTTACAATTTACCAATATACTAGAAAGCTGAATAGCTTTATGCGCAAGACAGAACGCTAAAAGGTTAGGTTTTTAAGACATTTTTTTTATAATCTCAATTTATAGGTGTTTATTTAAAATAAATTTTAATAATTTTAATAAATTTTAATTAAATTGTATCATAACAGTATGATGCTTTTATTATGTAGACTTCATTATACAAGCTCATATTACACACTCTGAGCGGATAGACCGTGTAGTCCATCTTAAATTAATTACCAGTCTTTAATTAGCATAGTATTCACGGTTTATACGTTTGATACAATGTTACATTGCGGTGAATACATATTTGTAGATAAATGGAATACACAATTATAATTTGTCTTTATTTCGTTTCGCAATAATCGTCGTATAAAATTTTCAACTCCGCATACAGAGTGAACTTGTTTCTGAAATTAGTTGCTTTAATTAATACCGCCCCCGACACCGCCAAACAACGTCGACGGATTTAAGGCCCGTTTCATAGTACTACGGTTCAGCGTAACAATCTGCGACGACACACAGTACAAGTAAAGTACAATGCATCGCAGAATCAGATATATTGCCGGAACGTGGAAATCTACGACGTGACGTGATTTCTTTTTATCGTTGTTCACACATTTATATATAGACGGCTGTTTTTGATTAAATATAGTGTAGGACGAAATAGTGATCGTACTTATTTATTAAGTATATACAAATTATTTGTTGTAATTTTACACTAATAGGAAATGTTACTTAGATAATTGTAATTAAAATTGCTAATAAACAGATGCTCTCAAAGACGCAACGATTTGTTAATTAGTGATAAATCGTTAATTAATGACAACTTTGAAGTAAACATTGAACATGGATCGATTCTATCATCTTATAATATACTCATACACGTCGTACGACGTCGGATGCGTATTGTCAATGCGTCACATCACACATCGTCACAAGTATTGTGAAAGGACCCTTACACTACCCAAATGATGATTTTAATAATTATTCAGGATGTCACCTTACGCCGCCGGTTGACGACTCCGGCGGCTATTAGCAACCACCGTAACAATTGTTATATTGTGAGCTGTTGATTAAATCGATTTGTTATAGAGCTTCTCATTGTCATGCTCGGCCTGTAAGCGATAAATTGCCACGCCATTACCCGTGGTAGGTATTACTGTTCCGGTGGTATATTATTTTAATACACTGGTCACAGTACATTATATATTAGAGTTTTAGACATATTTTATTGTTACGTTTAAATTATTCAATTCACACTTGTATATACATATATCATTTGTCTTTTAATTTAACCGATTTTGTTTCTGCCGCGTGGGTATCGGCATATGCTGCCGCGGCACCAGTGAAGGATGATAGATATAATGCAGAATACGTCACTATGGACTAACTGACCATTGTGACGCATTCTTCAAGAAATAAAGAGGATGAATTTAATCTTCATCTATCGACCACTGTGCATTTTAGAGGGTACAACGCAGAGGTCGATTCGTGGATGGATGCTCTGATGGGGCATAGTACTTGTAGACCCCATTACTAACCATCCTCACCCAAATCATATATATTATAATAAGCAAGGTTCACTATCATAATTATAAAGAATAGATATGCGTTAATTTTTATCCGCGACTTCGTCCGCGTAACAGGGATGTGTTCACTAACCGAGATAAAAGTAGCGTATGTCTTTCTCCATCTCATATAGAAAGTGTATACTAAATTTCATTAATTAAACTTATTTATTAAAAAAAAAATTAATAAACTTACTTTCACATTATATATAATATGATATTCGTAATAACTTCCACATTAGGTAAAGATGACTAGTTACTTTTTTTTTATACAACTTAGAATGGTAAACAAGCTTACGGCCCACCTGATGGAAAGTGGTAACCGTAGCCTATAGACATAACAGAGTAAACTGTTTCGCCCATGATACCCCTCATGCGTTGCCATTCCTGGGGACTCAGATGTTATTCCGCTGTACCCTGTAAATTCACGCCATATCCCACACTTCCAACCGAAACACAGCCATGCAAACACAACTGCTTTACGGTAAAAACACGAATGGGACAGAGGTACCCAAGCAATCGACTTTTGTACAGTCTCTCTGGTTTCGTAGTAGTCATATAAAAACCATAAAATAATCTCTGCAATTAAAATCGACACCATACAAGCAGCGCAAAAATGAGTTAATTTAGCATTCCCTATGCATATAAATCTCCTAAAGCGGGGATACTAAACAAGAGGCTGCCGGCAAATCATTTTAGGCACGCCAATAATTAATGAATAATAACTTAAAAAAATTGCCATCGCTGTCCTAAGGGTTGCTAATTCCAATGCAGTTTAGTGTCACACACTTAATGTCTCTTTTTTGGATTGCTAGTAAATTGCTGCTTAACTTAATCGTTCGGAGTTGGTACCACGAACTTCCTTTTAGTTCGGGCAAGGTATATTTCTTTATGACACCCACGGGGAAGGAAGGGGTGGTCTATTCTATGCTGGGATCTACACGGCTAAAAGAGCTTATGGTGGATGGATGGGCAGCATTCCCTTTAAAACATTGCCAAAACCTAAATTGCGGTTTCTAATCCGCCTGCGAAGCGTGGCAACTACTGGCAAAACCCTCCTTGTTAGGAGACTATCTTCAGTAATGGATAGTTAACGGCTGATATACAACAACAATATTTTTCTACACGCTAAATCCTTTGCGGTGTAGATAGGGCAGAGTACGTTTGCGGAGAGAGCCGAGTGCCTTTTATAGATCCCCCTTCTTAATCAATTTTCGTAACTTATCTCATACATACACATCGCTTTTGAAGACTAAGCCCCTCTCTCGATCTGATAGAATAAATAAAACAATGAATACATAAATACTTATGTTATAAATTATCTTTTGCCCGCAAAATAGTACGCGTGCATTTTGGAAACAGAACCATTTCTAGCCATGCCATATTACGTTTTCGTAAATCAGACTTTAATGTTGCAATTTTAATATATTAGTACATAAGACATCTAAGCGTGTACATGTAAATCAAATGATTGAGATCTCCAAAATGATAAAACAAGCCAAGAGGTGGCATTAAGGATCCGAATATTCCCAAATGATGGAATTAAACAGGACCCAATGCGATTATTAAGATAAGATAACCTTCAATAAGTCTACACTTTGAAACCCTCTTAATGTAATCAGTACTTATATATGCTGATCGCAATGTTCACCAATCGTCATTGATGATTTGTTTATTCTATATACTAAATTTATGTACGGTTTGAATAAGGACAAAAGTACCTTGTGTGAGGGAGGGAAGATTGTCAGTAATGAGGTCTAGCATACATTATGATGAGCCAACTGACCTAACAACATCCTAATCATCTTGTGCTGGTGATCCATCAATATATTCTAATAGCATAGGCGGGTTTACCATTCCTTTTTCATCATATTACCATACGGACATCTTTGCTAATTTTCTAATTTATAGTATACAGAGAACATGATAATACTAATAATGATCATTCCCGTATGCTACATCCGGCATGTTTCTATTAAATGAGATTGATTTAATGAAAGTGGACGAAGCATGTGATATATGTTCAACCAAATCAACCTAGAATTTTAAGTTTAGTCTGCAAAAATAATAGACTTATTAACATTTAAATTTTTATTATCAGTAAGAACTTACGTAATAATATTTCTTATTCTGCTTAAGAAACTCGATATTTTTGGTTTCCATTGTGTTAATTTTGGCCTAAATGGAATTTGTGTAGGTGTGCCTTTACGCACTAATTGGCTGTCGCTCAATATAAATGAAATACGAATGTATTGTACATAAAAAAAAAATTAAATCAATTGTTTTTATTAATTTATTGTGTACACAAATAACTTTATTATGTCTTTGATTGGAATTGATTCATTTTATTACACATTTTATTGAACAATTTAATAATAGCACTTATCATTTTGTAATTCCATTATAATGGTAATTCAGAATTCTTGGGAACATTTAAATTGGTTAATTATTATGAATAAAGTTAATATTTATTTATTAATATAAGGAAAATTAAATCTATTTGTTACTTAACAAATGGCTGTTCCCTT